TTATTCTACTATATTCTTATATAAAAACAATGTCCCTATAGTTATTTTTTTAATCAAAGCTTTTATTTCTTCCGGGAAAATCTCCACATGAGCCCTTAAAATACTCGAATAGATGACCTCCAAATTCTCCTAAGAAGGGAAAAGTAACGTAAAAGTAGAATAAAGAGAAATAAGTCTAGGATCTACAGAATTAGTACCACCTCCAGGCGGTAACATAGCACTCACAAAGAGTATATCTTTAATAATTTTCTGATCTAAGCTTCCTTCTCGTTCATATATGTATCCTTTCTCGACTAAAAATTTTAATAATGCAATAGGTTATTAAGTTCCATAATCATCAGTAGTAGGCATATGTAGATCATCAATAAACACTACTAATTATTTACCAGGATTTTTAGGGCCAAATATTCTTCCAGAACGCTTATCTAGGGGGGGCCTCGATATTTACTTATAAGTCCTAACTAGTAGTTCTCGATGAAAAGTTTATATTTAATTTCATGAATTTTTCTACATCAAGAGAATTTATAAAATTTTAAATAATAACACTTTTCGCAGTTCCCGATTCTCCCACAAATAAGCACGGTTTCTTAGAATGAATATGTTATCCTAAAATAAATGAAAATCTTTAAGTATCTACTGTAGGTACAAGTATTTTCGAAAATTTACCGTCCGCAGGTGGTTAGTATTATTAAACTAATTTTTCCCAACTAACAAAACTCCTCGATTTTTCATAATCGAAATAATTATCATATAAGGAATTCGAAGGAAGTGCCCTACCCGAAATGTTTCTTAAGAAATCTTCGAATCTTTTTCTCGCATCGATTTTAATACAAGCTCCAAAAGACCATATTATAGAAAAAATATACATTAGTTCCACTATTTCAATTTCCTATTAAGGATCGTCCGGGTTTAGCATAGAATCGATAATCCTTGTCATTTATTCTAATAAATTTAGATGAGTTCTCGGAATAATAAAGCCTAGAGGTTGACTCTATTCCTCGTTTTCAATTCCTTCGTAAATCAAATTCACAATCGGGTCAATGTATTTTCCAAAAAGCTCCATCAAAGCTTCATGCAAAGCCTCAAATTTTACCCATTTAGTAACCCATTTATGATAAAATGGTTTATATCCAATATCTTTAGGGTCGACATACACCATACCGCATCTAGAAATAGTAGCCGGCGATGCAAACTATAGATCATATACTTCAAAAAGTAACTTACAATACCTTTCAAGTCTAATTCTATCTCCATTAATTAATGTAAGTAATTTATTATCATCCATAACAGAGTTCATATTTTCGACCCAAATAGCATCTACATCTCCATCGAATAAAATCCATCTCTATTCATCTTTGCCTTACATATGTTTTTCATTTGCAATCCTAAAAATCTTCGAAAGTAATCCATCTTTCCACTCTCTAGTTTACATGTCCATAGTTCCGTAAAGTTCATTTACAGTAATAGCTTTTGGATTTAAGCAAAAGATGGTCACATTATCTACTTTTTTTAAAATTTCGATAACCGTAGATTTCCCAGACCCAGTAGGTCCCACAACCATAGTAGTATGTCTAGTTAGCATAGTTTCGAAAAGCTGAACTACTTTATCTATTTATTTCGGAAGTTCCTTATATAGACCTAAGCTTTCCATAACATCTAAAATCCTATCTTTTTTTTCATAAGGTTTCCTCTTAATATCCATATTAGGGAACAAATCAGTAATTAATCCCATAAACAAAGGCACATCTTCAAATACAAATTTTGGCATATTCATATCTCTTAAAGCCCTCATTAGAGTTAATTCTTCAGGCATGTCCATAGCTTCTCTTTTTAACGACCCTGCCATTACTAGCACTGATTTAAGCGCTCTAAGTCCAAAATCATAATGATATTATTTGGATAATTATTCCTTAGCCAATTTATATAAAACATTCATTTTCTTAGCCAAAACTCGAGCTTCTGTAAATCCTTCAGACATAAGCATTATTTCGCATATTATATTAGTGTCAGGTACAACCATTGTCACTGGTCTGAAAAGAGCTTTTAAATTATCAGGAAGTTCGGATCTACCAGAATATCCTGGGTTCATAGTCACAAAAATACCTATAGTAGCCTTCAACTATAGTTCCTTTTTCATTAATTCCAGTGTTGTTTTCCCTTAAGAAAGCGCAGTTTAGATAGTTTTAATTTAAACTGCCACAACAGAAAGTACTGCAGGAGTAATTCTATTAAATTCATCAAAACAACCCCAGAATCCTGTTTATGCTAACCCTGATAGAATCAAACCCATTGCTTTATAATCAAGACCTTCTCCACAATTTGTTACACAGCATCTAATAGCTAATGATTTTGCCAAATCTTTCACTGTTTCAGTTTTTCCTGTACCTGCAGGACCTGCTGGAGCACCTCCTAATTTAAATGAAAGGGCAGTTGTAAGTGTCATAACGCATCTATCGGTCAATGGAGTGATTACAAGTCTACCATTTAGTCCTTAATATTCATATCCATAAGTAAATTCACCTGTACACTATCTAATTCGAATATCATTTAAATCATTTTACCAATAAAAACGCAATTATGATTCCCATTCGAATTCTCTTGCATCTAAAATAGAGTCTCTGACAAAATTAGATACTATATCTCTAGCATGAACATCGACAATAATCAAAGTATTTACTTTTTTTCTATCGAGTTCATTTAAATCAGTTCGAACTAAATCAATTAAATCATTTAAATCTTTAGTTTATTTAAGATTTTCTTATTTCATAGCATGCTAAAAATATTAATATAAGTTTAAAATATAAAAAATATATATAGAAAAATTAAAGATAAATAAATATAATAAAATTAAAAAAAAAAGTATTATATAAATTATAAATAATAATATATGAATATATATAAAAATAGATATTTATAAATATATATATATATATATATATATATATAATATTATATATATATATTTACATTTATTAAAATTTATTTTATATTTATATATATTTTTTATATAATTTTTTTTTATTTATATATATTACTTTATTTCCATCTCTTACTTTTCTAAAAACATCTTCAACCCTCCATGTCCACCATATTTATGCTCCAACAATAGCTACCATACCTAAATTTTCTAAAACCCATAATATTCTTTCTTTATTTGCATATAAAAAGGTACCTTCTTTAGTTTTTTTATGAAGAGTATCCTACATTTCTTAATCTACTTTTTTCATCCATAATTCAATTGCTCCTTCAGGTTTTTATCCTTCTCTAAATTCAAAGCTTTCTTATTCATCAGATTCCATTCCGGTTACTAGTTTTCCATTTTTAGCTAGTTTTAATTCTTTGCAATTATCAAAAAGTTTAATCATGTGTGGCTAAACTGCCGGTGCTTCCGAATTTCCTAAAATGGAAAGTAAGTCTTCATCAGAAAGAAAATAAAATCTTGGAAAAATATTTCTTTTAGTATCTAAATAATCTGAAAGTGATTTCTATCTTTTGTCCAATTCATCAGACATATTTTTCAATTCCATCAAAAGCGAATCATTTGCAACACAAGTTTTATATATATTCGGATTCTTATATGTTTAATCCATTATTTTTTTAAATTGTTTGTCGTTTTTATCGAATTTTTTCGCTTCCTCTTTCAATTAAGTCCTTATATCTTCAGATCCGATAAAAATTCCTTCTAAATACATCCATTTTTTCTATACAACAAGCCAAACTTCAATTGTTTCAGAAATTCTATTTAATGCCTTTTCCCATTTTCTTATTTCCTAAACAAAAGCCGCTACATATTTAGAACTTGCTACAGTTTATAAATTAGCCTATTAATCTTCCAAAATAAGTCTAACTTCATCTGTATTTCTTAAAACCCAGGATTTCTCTTCATGTCCTTTCTTATATTTTACCAAATTAAACTACTCTATCTTCCAAACCATATCTATTTTTTGGATTTCCTCTTCATTTTTATGTTCTTAATTAGCTTCATTTACTATCTCAGCTACTTTTTCAGGGAAATTCTATAAATTTAACGCAAAAACTTACTCTAAAGTCAAAGTTTTTATATTTCCTTCTAATTTCATCCCAGTTTCCGTCATAAGTTTATTCCAATGTCTATCTGTAATAGACCCACTTTTTAATTGTTAGATTAAAGGAATTGAATTCTTAAAATCCACAATTTTCTAAGAAAGTTTCTAAAAAATAGTATTATCATCATAAATTCTTTAAAGTTTTTTCCTTTTTTTATCATATTCTTCAGCCCCTTGCCTTAACATTTCCGCATCTATTTTAGCCCAAAGCATAATAGACCAGTCTTTTAAATCGGTTCTCAAATCTCTATATACATCATATAAAGTGGATAATTTTTTGTTTTCTTCTTCTATTTAAACTAATTCTCTAAAAGTAGAAATTGGTAAATTGAACAATTTTTCGGCTAAAACTAGTTCTTCTTTTCTTTTATTATACTCAATTACTTTTTCTTTATATCTTTGAAGACTTTCTAATCCATCATCAAGCCCACTATTGGGAGAACCAGGTCCTGTTTGTTTATATTCTTTATATAATTCAGCAAGAGTTTTTTTGAATTCCTAAACGTCGTCTTATGTGACATTAGCGAATTATTTTTTAGTTTCGGAAAGTTCTTTATCTTTTCTTTTGGCTTCTTTTACTAGTTCATTCCACTTTTATTCCAATCCGAGTGCTTCTTACATTAGTTCAGTGTCTACATTCTATTCATATTATTTTAAAGTTCTGAATTTTTCAGTCACATCGGAAATTTTGAACTCCATAATCATAGATTATCCTAAAATTTCAGAAATTTCATTCAACATTCTCTTTAATTCATCTATATGGTTAGGCTAGCATTATATTTTCTTTTAGAATTCCTCAATTTCTTTCTCTATTTCATTTAATTAATTTTCTCCAATAATCCTCATAACATTACCATGTTTATTAAGCCATTCCTATGCCAAATCTTTAAATTATTTAATAACGTTTCCAAACGAAACTGAAATAAACAAAGCATTTCTTTCTTTAGGCATTTCATCAAATTCCTAAACTAAAGTCTTATAGAACATCATTTTTCTTTCCAAATGCACTGTATGCGGTTTTTTTTCAACTAATTTATCTATATTAAGTTTTTTTTTGTGATTCCAAAGTTCTTTTCGGCGATCTTCTTCCCACATTTCGCTAAAAGAGTGAACTTTATTATACGCTTTTTTGATAAAATCTCCTATATTAAAGCAAACTTACGTAATAACATAATTTTCACTCACTTATTCATAAAAAGTATGTCTTTAAATCTTCTCATCATTAGTTCCTACTACAGGATTGCAAAAAGTACAATGTCCATCTTTCCATCTCCAGAATTATTTACTCGAATTCAAAATCTGGTTTCTTATTTTTTACAATATAGTATCTACTTCAGTACAAGGAGGATTCGTGTTTGTATTAGGATGGTCATATTCTTATTATATTTAGAATAAAGGGACAGTTTTATTTCCTGGTTATTACATTAAATTTTTAAAAGATAAAAGTGCTCTCAAAACCATTTTAATTAAAGCATTATATACTCTTCTTTCCCAATAATAATAATATTCCTTCATCTTTTTTTAATGTCTTGATGAATCCTAAAATATAGACTCTTCTATATTCTTTAAAAATTAGTCCCCAATCATATTATATTTATCCACTAAATCAGTTACCCCCTTATTCATATATTCATCAAAGTAATTCATAAATTCACTTGCTGAAGGGATATTAACTTCTCCATTTTAGGATTATTGGTTGAAATTGTAATCTTTGAAAATTTTAGCTTCTTCAATATTTTTTACGAATTCTTCTATGTGAGAAGCACTTTTTTCAACTTTCTTTTTCGTTTCTTTAAATTCGTTTATTGATTTTATACAATTGTCAATAAATTCAGGAATTCCTAAAGAGGATAAATTTAAACTTTCATGCCCTTATTCTAATTATCTTTATAGATATATTTATTTTAAATATATATATATATGTATATATATATATATTATAAATTTACTAATTTAATTTTTTTATAGGTTATTCAAGTAGTATTTTTTCAATTTCTGACAAAGAATTAACGACATCTGAATATTCATTTAACATAGAATACAATTTATCAATATAGCTATAATACTCCATTTCTTAAAGTGAAATGTTAATAATAGTTTTCGATATAGGATAACCCATTTTTTCCAAACTTTTAGCTTCTTTAATTAATACTTTGAATTCTTGCGAAAAATTTACTTCATATTTACATTCTGCTACTTTTTTTAGAATATTTTCCTTTAAAAATCCCATAGCTTTTTCCCTAATTTTATCATTCCATTCTTTGAATTTATTCTTTTAATATTAATCTATGCTCTTTGCCAAATTTTTATATTCATTTTTTATATCCTAAAAGTTCTCAACATCAAGATCATCTTCCTTAGTCAAAAATTTAATAATAGGCCTCTTAATTCTATAAAAAATACTCCTAGCCCACGCTATAGACCCTGCTACTGGCGGTTTATTCTTACTAATAACTAAAAACCCATTCCCTTTATCCAAAAGTTATTTTCCCTGTTCAAAAAGAGTTTTATTTTATTCTACTTCCTTTAAATACCTATTTAAAACATCAGTATATTTTTTCTAAAGCTAATCCTATATATCGGGTAAAGTATTAACATCTTTAAATTTCAAAAGCAGGTCAAAAGCACCTTCTGCAGATCTCAAATCTCTGAAAGTGTCATTAATAAGTACAATAGTTTTTTGTTCTATTTAATTTTTCTCAGATTTGAATTTATTATAAACTTACTACCAATTCGGATAGTTTACTTTTTAAAAGTAATTTATATTCTAATTTTAAAAGGGAACAACTAGCTTTTTTACTTCAGTAACCAAATTATCAATCCCTTCTGAATTTCCAGTCACTGCTTTTAAGTTTGGTCCAAGGAAAACTAAAAATCTTTTAATAATTTCAGTTACTTTTTCCAATTCTCCTAATACTCCGACCATATTTTCTATCCTATTATTTAAAGAAGGCACTGTAGAATCCCATCTATCTGATCCCTCTTCTTCTATTTTTGCTTTTGTTCTTTTGTAAAGATCTTTCCAAGTAACCAATATTCTTTTTCCTTAAGAAATCAAATCAATTGAATTCTATAATTATTGTTCGCATGAATGAAATTCCTCAGAAAGCTTAAATAATTCACTAATTTTTATTTCATTCTCAACTTTATCTGCTATTTCGTCAGATATTAAAGCCAATAAATTCTACATTTTGTCCTCACTTTAATAATGTCTTGAAATAATCCATATAGTCCTCAATCCAGTCATTAATGATTACAAAGTTTCCTCAACTCCAGAAAGACCTTCTTAAGCTAAAATCTTAAATTATCTTTCTAAAGTATTCAAAAACTTCACATTGTCCTTAGCTTCGTTATATAATTAAGTTAAGTCTTTAAATTAAGATTCAAAATCCATTAAAATTGTCGTATTTCCATTCTCAGTTTAGAAATACTCTATACCTATATTATATATATATATATATATATTAATATGTATAAAAAAAAAAATACTTTACCTTTATTTAACTTTTTATATTAATGGATGACTTAATTATTAATGAAGGGTGGATAATGTTGCACTTTTGGACCTTTGGAGTTCTATTTCGGCTAATGCTTGATTACTTTCAGCTTTTTATTCTTTTACTTTTTTCATTGTTTCTTTAATTGTAGCTGACCAATTTTCCTAAATTAAAATAATTTTGAAAAGAAAAATATGTATTGATATCTAAGACAATTATTTACCAATGATTGTTCATATTTTAGCATTAAGTCTACATTTTTTATTGATGTTGCGTCATCTATTTCTATTATAGGGGAAGGTAATTCAATGCTTATTGTACCAGATACTTAATAAGCAGAATGACTTATTTATTAAACAAATTTTTATAGAGTTTATTTTATCTCGTTTTGCTTAGTCTCCAAAGGCAAAAATACATTTTTTATGACACTTTATAGAGAATTTAGTATTTTAGTATTTTAGTATTTTTGCAGTTTATCTTTGTCCATATAAATATATATGTTTAATATAAAATTGTTTTCTGTCTTTTTTTTATATAAATTAATTTTTTTATATTTATTTAAATTTTTATTTTAATTTTTTTTATTTATTAGTTTCCCTATTATAAATATTTTTAAAAAAATATTTATATATAAAGAAAAAGTTATTTTTTTTCATTTTTATGAAACAGATTCTTTTAATATATTAGAAAATTTCAATTTATTTTTTTTATTTAAAAAAAAAATATTTTATTTATATATAATATTAAAAGAAAAAAAATATATAATTAATAATAAAATATATATTTCAATTAAATCAATAATTTATATAAATATAAAAAAAAGTTAAATTATATATATTATAAATATCTTTTATTCATATATATATATATATATATTTATGTATATATATATTTAGTTAAATATTTTTATTTATATATATAATTTTTAAATTATAATATATTAAAAAGATTATTCTAATATTTAAAAAATGAATTTTTTTAAATAAAAACTAAATTCTTTATAATCAGAAATTACTTAAATTTAAAATAAAGGAAAAGAAGTATTTTAGAAAATAGAGTAAAAAATTCTAAGAAAAAATAATATCACCAAAAGATTCAATATAAGCAGATTTAATATTGATAACAGGGCGCATATATTGGATGGACTTTCCATGCTAAGAGAAGATCTATAATTTATCAAACTTCCTTAACAAAAATTTTAAGTAATAATATTATATATGGAATATTTCAGAAATTAAATATGATATAACACCATTTAATAAGCAAGTAAAAAAGTAAAAAATAATATATATATATATATATATATATTTATATATATATATATATATATATATATATATATATATATATATATATTATAATTATATATTAATTATAGGTAGTTGATCATAATTGGCCTGGTTATCCTAATCCCAGTTTAGAAGATATTTTCGTTATTTGTATAAGTATTATTTCATGGTTAAATAGTGATCCATCTAACATCGCAATAATCCACTGTTAAAACACTCGAGGCAGAAGTGCTTTAATAGCAAGTTGTATCCTATGCCTAAATAAGACATTTACTCATCCTGGTGAAGCCTTGACTTTTTTTTGTAAATAAACACGTACACATGACGTAAAAATACTTTTCCCTTCATAATAATTGTACTTGAATTATTTTTCGAATGTTTTAAATTCTGTAATATTGAATTCGAAGCCTTTAAAACTAAAGAAAATTATATTTAGTGAAATTCCTTTAATTAAATTAGATTAAGGAACATCATTTAGACCTTATTTATAAGTCTTTTAAGATTCGAAAATCCTTTATAACTCTTTAAACTAAGGTAATCTTATTTCTTATTAAGAAACTGATATTTCTTTATGGTTTGATTTAGAAGGAATAGAAGTGAATTTAAATTTTTTTATTTTTTATTTAAATTATATCACATATTTATTTATTTATAGGTCTATGAGGATATATTATTTAGATGTAAATAATATGATAACAATTTAATAAGAAAGCCTGTATTTAGATTTTTAATACATACAGGATTTACACATGATAATGTTATTAGGCTTTTAAAGACTGAAATCGATTTTGCAAATAATATATATGTTTCTGATAATTTCTTTATTGATATAATTTTTGAAGAATCTTCTATTTAAATTAAAAACAAAATACTTAAATTAGAATCAATTGTAGAATAATGTAAAAGAAAAATCTAAAACAACAGAAAAGTTAATTAGAATATAAATATAGAAGAACATCAAAATCAAGAAATTTAAAACATCTTGTAAAATTAAAAATAAGTTTATGAAAATGATAATATAAAAAAATATATTATCAATGAAAACGAAATAATGATAATAAGGCATATAATGAAAATTTGATAAATAAAACTTGTAATAATGTAAAGAAATAAGAATTAGATTAAGATGAATAAGATGAATAAGATGAATAAAACAATAATAATAATCAGAAAAATCAAGAAAATTAAGAAATTATAAACAAATTAATAAATAATAGTCAAAAAGATGATGATGAACATGAAATAGATGATTATTTAGAAAGTTTAGAAAAATAAGTTTGAAAAAAATATAATATATTTATAAAATATTTAAAAATATAAATAAAAATAAATATAATTATATATAAAAAAAAATAGTTATATTAATACTAAAAAAATATATATAGAAATATATATTTAAAATATATACAAAAATATATATAAAAAAAAAAGATATTTATATAATATTATTTTTATAGATAAAAATAGTAATAATAAAAAATAAATATAAATATAAATATAAATATAAATATAAATATAAAAATAAATTTAAATATATACTTATTAATATATATTAATATATATTTTTTTTTCTATATAAATATATTTATTTTAATATATTATTTAAAAATAAATTATTAAATTAAAAAACTATAACTTTTTTTTTTTTTTTTTTATTTATTTATAAAAATTTATTTAATTTGCAAAAATTTATTTAATTTTTTAAAAAAAAATATTTATTTATAATTGATTTTTAACTTATTTAACATATCTCTTACCTATTTTATAATTTTTGTTTACTATTTTTTATTTAATTTTTAAATATATTGAAATTTTATATTCATTTTTTTTTATCTTAAAAGTATATAAATATATATACATATCAATTATATACAAATTTTTCTTTATAAAATAATAAATATAAGCATTCTTACTTAATATTTGTTATAATACCGTTTAAAAACATTTTCTGTTTGTTTTCAAATAAAAATAAAATTAATAAATAATAAATAGATATTATAAAAAATTACTTTTTAAATACAAATATTTTCTAAACTTTCGCTCATAACTAAACTTTTTAAATAATTAAAGTCGAAATCAATTTTTTAAATAATAAAATCATAAATAATTTTTTTCCTTAAAATTTTTGGAAAATAGCAAAATTCCAATCATCATTAGATTCCTAATTATTATTAAAAATAAGAGAAAAGCATCCTTTAAAAAATTTATTTTCATTTAATTGTGTATTTATCATATTGTTAATTTTTGAATTGTTGAAATTTCTAATAGCTATAATTATTTAACTATAAAAAATATTATATTGAATATTATGTATAAATTTAATAAAAAAATATAAAAAAAAAAATTAAATAATATACTAGTATATGTGTTTAATATTTTTTTATTAGTAAAATATTAAAATAAAAAATAAAAAAAAAAAAAAAAAATATGTTGAAAAGTAATAAAGTAAATATTTATATAAATATATAAAAATATATTAACTTATATATTATTAATATAAAATTTTAATATAATATTTATAATAAAAAAACTTTATTTAACAAATTTAATAAATTAAAAAAGATTTTTTATAAAATTATAAAAAAAATATATAAAAATTAAAAAATACTAATAATAAAATATATATTAAGAAAAATTTAAATTTAAAAATATTAATATATTTTTTTTGCAATATATATATTATATATATATATATTTATATATATTTATATATATTTATATTTTTTTGTTTTTATAAAAATTTACTTTCGAAATCAAACATCGGAATTTCATTATTTTAAATGTTTTTTTATTAATTTTAAATATATAAATTTATTATTATATCTTTATCTTCTTCCAATAAACTATATCCTAAATAAATCCACGTTTTTTAGAAACTTTTTTCTTTTTATTATAACAAAATTAATTAAATTTTTAAATTTTTACGATTTAAAAAATTATAAATCTAATAGTAAATTTAACTTTAATATTTTTTAGAATAAATAAAGCTTTTTTAAATATATTCTTTATTTATTTAGCTCTATTCATTATAATTACTGTTCATAGTAAAGTCTTTATGAATATATAGAATAATACTCTCTTATATATATTTATTTTCTTTAAAATTAAATGGATTTGGTATTATACTTATTGGTATATAAAATCTTAGCTTTTTAAAAAATAATAAATATTTATTTATAGTTATTTACTTCATTTTATTAATTGAAATTTTTTAAATAATCTAAAATATGAGAATTTTTGACAAAATGAAATTAAAATTTTTTTATTTCATAATTTTCAATTTAAATATTTGTTTCACTATTCGTATATTGACCATTTTTAAATTATATATGTTCTCCGTTAACAATAAAAGATAAATTACTTTCTTAAAATACACTTGAATTTATATCTTAAATTGGATATTATAATGTATATTTGGAATGATATTTTTATTTATTTTTTTATTATTATTAATCAATATAAAAAAATAATCCGTTTTGATGTTAAAAATCTAAATTTAATTTTAATGTTTTTGTTTTATTTTATTGCAATTTTTCTTTTTATTATTTTCTTTCTTTACAACATCCAAAATTCTAACCCATTTTTTTTTTTATAAAAATAAATATAAATGATTATTTAATAAATAAAAAACGTATTATAATAATAATTTTAATATACAAAATAAAATAAAATATACTAATATATAATTTTTTTTAAAAAAAATAAATTATAATATTTATTAAAAAATAAATAATTTTTATTTATTTAATAAATATATATATATATATACATATATATATTATTTTAAAAATTTAATTAATATATTTATTTATATAAATTTTATAAAATAAAATTAATATTTCTCAATATTTATATTAAATTAATTTATAATTATATTTAAAAGACTCTATATTTTTTTTTAGTATATATGTGAATATTTAAAAAGATGTTTAAATAAAATATAATATATATAATATACATATATTTTATTTTAAATGATTATTATAAAAATTATAATAATAATTATAATAATATTTAATATTATTAAAAATCTTAATAATAACATTTTATTATTTTTTATTTATTTTTAATTTTATTATATTTTTTTATTATTATTAAATAATAAATTATGTAATTATAAAACATTTAGTATATATACAATAATTTTTCATTATATTATATTTTTTCATAATTTTACTAATTTTTAATATAATGATAATAATATAAATAATATAATATAATAAAAATAAAATAAATATAATCTTTTATTTATTTTTAAAAATTTAAATATTTATCATTTTAAAAAATATTATAAATCCTTTTGAAAATTTAAATTTTTCATTACATATTACATGGATTAATTAACTTAAACTAATTCAATAGATGATATTTTACATAAGTAAGTATCCAAGCAAAAATCAAACTTTTTCTAAATACAAATATATAGTAAAAAAAATTATTTAAAACTAAAATAATTTTAAATTTAGAAATATGATTAAAAGAACACAATAAATATTATATTTATAAAAATTAATTAAAAACATAAAAAATAATAATCTAATAAAAATAAAATTAAAATAAATGATATAATGCGAATAATAAACAAAATTTAATAAGGATTAAAAATAACAAATAAAAAAAAAAAATATAAGATATACATGATAATAAAAATTCCTATAAAAAAAATATTAAATACTTTAAAAAATTAAAAAATATAACTGAATAAAAAAATTATTTATGTAAAATACTAAATTAAAAAATATATAAAGTAAAAAAAAATTAATGGAAATAAAAATAAAAAATAACATAAATAAAATTATTAAAAATAACTTAAATTTAAAAGAAATAAAAGTTTAAGAAGTTGAAAAAAGTGAATAATAAAAAATATTATAATAAAAAATTGATAATATAAAAAAATAAATAATAAATAAAAAAAAAAATATAACATTTGAAAAATATAAAAATAATAATTAATAATTATATAAATATATTAAATATATATAAATATATATATATATTTTTATATATATTTATAAATAAAAAAATATAATAATTATTAGTATTTTATATTTCTATGTTTATTAAAGACATTTAAAAGAGAAATAAATTAAATTAATATATTTAAATTATTAAAAATAAAAATTTTTATTAATATTTTTTTTAAATTAATTGAAAAATAATTTTATAAATATATATTTAAAATATAAAATAATAATTATTTATATTAAAAAAATAAATTAAATTAAAAATGGGTGCTGATCCTAGATAAACAAGTAAACAAATAGAAGTTCTTTTTCTTGCTGTCGCAGTAAAATTAAAAAAATATATAAATTTATTTATTAAATTAATACTGATTTTTTTTACAAGTGGATAAGTTCTATGTGTTGTTTAATTAGAACAGATTTCAATTTTGCATTTTCTCTTTTTGGTTATTATTTATGGATTTCAAGAGATGATAAAGCAAATTCAATGATGGTTTAAAAAAATATTAATTAATAATTTTATATATAAAAAAGTTAATATTTTAAATTTAAAATATTTAAATATTTTAATATAAATAGTTAATAATAATGAATGCAGTTTTAATTCTTGTTGATATTATCTGGCTTTTAGCTGTAAGTAGTGTATGGACTACACAAACAAATAATGATGCATGGAATAGTTTACGTGGATTACATATATTTGCACTTATTTTTTCTGTTGTAAATGTTATAATAAAGGTATTTATCAAAATATAAATAACTATTATATTTATATTTTTTTTATTTAAATAATTCTTAAAATTTTTTCAAGATCATTATAACTATACTTATTAATAGTTACAGAAGCACATAAAGTTATTATTTTTTATTTTTAAATATAATTTTTTATATTAAGATAATGATTATGTTAGTAATATATAAGGATAAAACCCTTAACTCGGAGGATATTCGATTGTATAACATTGAAAATAAATAAATAAAAATTATGTATTAATAACATAAATACATATAAATTATAAAATATTAAATAAATTAAATTAAATTAAATTAAATTAAATTAAATTAAATTAAATTAAATTAAATAAAATTAAAAAAAAAATATATATAAAATGAAGAAAAATTAATATCACATTATATTTATTTTCAATATTAATTTATTTAAAATTAAAATATATAATAATAATATATCAAATAATAAAAATAATGAATATATATATTTAATAAATTAATTTTCTTATATTTAAATTATTATAAATTACATTATTATTATTATTAAAAAAAAAAATATTTTATCATTATAAATTATAAAAAGTTTTATTTATTTTCATTTAACATATTTAAATAAATATATAATATATTATAAATAAAATAAAAAAAATTATTTCATAAAACTAATTTTATCTTTTTAAAATATGCCATTAAACCATTTTCAAATTTAAACTAATTACATTATAATAAAATTTGTTAAATTTCATTTTAAATATTATTCATGTTCATTTAAGAAAAATAAAATTTAACATAACTTAAAAAAAATATAATCTTATGTTGAATTAAAATAATCTTTTTTGAATGATTTTTAAAAAACATTAAACCTATAAAAAATTATTAGTAATTATTAAATATATATATAAATATAAATTTAAATGTACAATTAAATATAAGTAAATATATATAAATAAATATATGTAAATGTATGAATATAAAAATATATATTATATTTATATATTTATATATTTATATATTTATATATTTATTACTTTTATGTAAAATATCATATAATCTAAATAGACATTCTAAAATATAAAATTTGTTTGAATATATTTTTTATAAATCATCTAATACAATATTATAAAAACTTAATATATTTTTATCTGAAAATTCTATACTTTTTTAAAAAACTGAACATAAGCAATTCTCTCCACTTCCGAATTATTTCTTGTTTTCATTATTAAAATTTTCACAGCATTGAAACATAAATTTTACACATTCCTCAATATTATTATCTTCTATTTCTCCATTAAAGTACCTTAACATTAATACTTCACAACTTATAATATTTAAAAGTTGATAAATTAATTCTTAATTTACATTTTTATGGCATATTTTATTAAATGTAGGTATATTTTATATTTTTTTACTAATACCTTTCCTATAACTTATTAAATCTTCTTTATAATTATCTTCTACTTCCTCATCTTCATCTTCATCTTTATCAATTTAAACTTCATCATAGTCTACTTCTTGTATAAAATAAGACGTGTTTCCGCAATCTTCGAATTCCCACCAAGGCTTCCATGCTAAAATATGTTCATTAATTTTTTGTTAATCTTTCACAAACTAAAAGAATTCTTTTTATTCCTCAAAAGTTAACATATTGACCTCTAAACAATTTTGTTCAACTTTCTCATATAAGAAATCTATTCTTTCTTATAATTTTTTATTTTCCTACAGTGAAATATATTCAGAATCTTCTTATATTTACTATTGGTATTATTTTAGAATTTTTAGCATTTTCCTTTATTCTTATTCAGTGCTTTTTTTAGATTAAAGCTCTTCTTTTACATTTTATTCATTAAATTTTTCTACACAATCATTATTATGAGTTTTATAACAGTTTAAATTACAATAGAATATTTTGCATTTTGGACAAATATATTTCTTTGAATTTTTATTACAAATAGGACAATTTTCCTATTCTATTGTTTATTTTTATTTTTATCGAAGTTTTTGGAAGTATTTTTCATCTTTTTCCAAAAGTTCTGAAATTAAAGTTATTTTTTTATTTTCTTATTCTTTTTTCTCAGGATTTTATTATAAAATTATCATATTTATTTTTTATAATATTTGTTTTTATATTAAAAAAAAAGATTTGTAATTTTATAAAAAAAAATGTTTAATTTTAAATATATCAAAAGTTATATATGATTCAATTTTATTAATTATTATTAATCTAAAACTACGAAAAATAAAGAAAAATATCTTCCAAAGATGTCAATTTAATCGAAAAATCCAAAATAATTCCTCCCAAAACCAACTAATTATACAAAACTTAAAAAATCTTTGAAAACCTAACTAAATTTTATTTAATTTAAAAATTCAAGCAAAAGACTTCTCCTTCTACTCCAAAAATACTCTCTTCGAAATCTTACAAAATTTTAACATTCTCATCTCCAAAAAGCTCAAAAATCATTTTTTTTACAAACTAAACATTTTATTATTACCCGAAATTCATTTTTACGCCTATCTTTTATCCATTTCCGAATCTATCCCTAAGTTCTTTCAAAGACCCAAAGCACACAAACTACCCATTGACTTAAATAGCAATCCTTCCGCATAAAACTTCTGCTTCTTAAAGACTATGAGTGGTTAAAACAGCCGACTTTTCCCCTAGATTTTCTCTTAAAATGTCCCAAAAAACTCTTTTAGCAACCGGATCCATCCCACAACTTGGTTCATCAAAAAAAAGCAATTTTTTATTCCCTAAAATAGCACAACAGACACTTAATTTTCTTTTATTTCCGCCCGAAAGTACTCCTGCCTTTATGTTTTCAAAATTTTCTAAGCTCATTTTTTTAATAAAATTTTAAATTATTTTTTCTAAAGCTTTTCCCTAAAACCCATTTATTCTCCCATAAATTTCCAAATGTTCTTTAACAGTTAAAAATTCCCAAAAGCAATCTTCCTAACTACAAATGCCTCCAATAGGCTCTTCTCCGATTTTTTCTATGTTTTTTCCCTCTAATTCTATATTTCCTGCACTAAGACTATCATTTCCAGTGATTAATTTAAATGTACTAGATTTTCCGGCACCATTAGGTCCCAAAAGACCAAAAATTTCCCCTTTTTAAACACCAAAACTATTTCCTTTTACCGCATGGAAACCATTTGGATATTTTTTATGTATTTAAAAAGCTTTTATAGTATCCTAGTTTTCATATTTTTTTATTCTTTTGGTTTCTTTAATTATTTCTGGTTCTTACATATTATCATTATTTAAATTTAAATTGTTTTTTACAGTTTTTTTATTTCTTATTTTGGATATTTTTTTAAGGGAAATTTTATAAATGAAAAAGACATAGAAAAAAGATTAAAAAAAAAAAAAAAAAACTTATTTTTTCCATTCAAAATTTTAAAGGTTTTCTAAAGCTTTTTACAACATCAAAAAAGGACTGAAAAAAACACACAAAATTTCTAAAAAAGCATTTACTTTTTTAAAATCTTCCTTTGTAATCTACAAAATAACCCAAGGAATACTATAACAAATAAAAAACGAATAAATAGGAAAAGATTTAAAAGCTTAAGAACTTTTCGAAAATAAAAAACTGCATAAATACGAAAAAAGGATTAATGAAATTCCAAAAACACATAATATTACACTCAATTTCCCTAATTATTCTTCTAAAAAGTCTATTTAGTAAACATAGAGGCTATATATAAATATAACGAGGGTTAATAAATACGAAAAATAGTCAACTATAAAGGTTCCAAGCCAATAAGTGCTTATTTTTATACCATTACTTCTCAAAATGTACATAATTTATAATTCTTCTTCTAAAACAGGTGTATTTATATAAATAGAAGTATTCATAGAATAAGCTTAGACAATAAATATGGTCAAAAAATACATTTTTAAAGGAAATAAATACTCTTTACTTATATCTTAATCTAAATTTAAAATTTCTTATAAATTCGTGAGTATATTTTTAGATAAATAGACACCAAAAAAATTAAATAAAATAGGTAATATTAACATTAAAATAGCAGTCCAATTTCTATATGTAACTAAAAATTATCTTTTTGCAAAAGCAATCATTTATTATAAAAATTGGTTTTTTTTGTAAATTTAATTTTAAAAAAATTAAATATCTTCTATTTAATTATTAATATATTATTCTTATGTTATATTTTTTTATCCTATTTAAATAAACGCATCTTCTAAAGAATTCATTTCTATAGAAATCTTTAAATTAAATAATATTTATATATATAAATAATGCTTTCATATATATATTTAAATGTTATTTACAGAAAGTAATTCTTTTTTTTATAAATCATCCAATAAACTAGAAAATTTTTCTAATTATTTAAAAGGGAGAACAAATTTTAACTAAAAGTTTGCACATTGAAAATTTCTATAACTTCCGTTTATTTCCTTTAATATTTTTTAAGAAATAATATCTTTTTCTTTTTCCCATATACATTTATTTTCTTCAAAGTTTTAACATTCAATACTTAAATGATATCCAACTCCAAAAGTCTCTTTTATAAATTCAGAAGTTCCCATAACTAAAAGTTTTCCATTTTCTAAAATAGCGATTCTCTACGCTAATTTTTCAGCTTCTTCTAGATAATGTGTAGTTAATACGATACATTTTTTCTCTTCTTTTTTTATATTTTCTAATATATTCCATATTTCTTAACGTGATACAGCATCCATTCCTTTTAATATAGATTTTTTAGACAAAAATTAATATAATTACCTGAAGTAGGTTCATCTAAAAAAATTAATTTTGAACCTCCAATTAAAGCATTAGCTAATGATACTTTTCTTTTATTTCCACCGCTTAAATGTTTAGTTAATTTATTCATTTCTTAAAAGATTCCAACATCTTTACCAATTCTCTCGATTTCTTTATATAAAATATTTCTTGGAATCCCTTTAATGTTACCAGTATATTCTAATTGTTCAAATACATTTAAATCTTCATATAAAATATCTTTTTAACTACAAAACCCAATATTTTATCTAATTTCATCAATGTTTTCTTCCAATTCCTTTCCAAATATTTAAATATTTCCACCAGTTTTTTATAATAAACCTGTCAAAACTGAAATTGTAGTTGTTTTTCCTGCACCATTATGTCCTAATAAACTAAAAAAAATATAATTAAATAAAAAAATTATTATAAAAATAAATACATATAAATATATATATATATATATATATAAAATATATATTTATTTATTTATATATTTATATATTTATATATTTTTATAGTTATAAACCAAAAAATCTCATTTTCATATAAATTTAAATAAATATTATCTAATGCTTTAAATTTTCCATATTTTTTATTTAAATTTTAAATTTTGCAAATTAAATTTCCATTTTATATATGTTTTTCATGGAATTAAGCACTACTTTTATCTATAAAATATTTATTTTTTTCATTTTTGTTTTCTTGCATTTTATTAAAATTTTTTTCTAAATTTATAAAATTTGGATCATAATTGTCTCCTTTTTTCATTTCTACTAGAAAAAATTCATTTTCAATTTAATTATTTTCGTTATTATTCTCATTTTTTTATTATTTCCTAAAATATTTCTTTATTAAAAAAAAAGCACTTTTCTAAACACCGTATTCACCAGGCAGTACTTCATTTAAATAAAAATAAAAACCTAAATACAAAAAACAATCAAATACCAACATCGACGCTGCCATATTTTAATTATACTAATTATCCTTTTGAATAAAACAAAAAGAAATAGCTGTTTAAGGTATTAAAAGCACCCCAAAATATGTCCAAAACGATATATTTTCAACATATCCAGCATAGAAATATACTAAACTTCCCAAAGTTATAATAAAAGTTCCTATTTCCCCCGCAATTTTTCCTGAATTAAAAAATACGCTCAAAAAAAACGTCTAATGTACACAACAAACTAAATAGATTCCAAAAAGAAAACACATCCAAAGGAAAGAATTTTCTTAAGAAAACTCTTCTTAAAAATATACCGAAATAAGTACTATAACCCCTACAAAAGCCACTTTGAAATAAGAATATAAAATCCAGCCAAGAAAATACGAAAAGCTACTCATTCCCATAATTTTCTGGCTTTCTTTTTATTTCTCTTCCTTTTCCTATACAAAAGTTATCAAATTTCGTCTTGTAAAACCAGCTATACTAGAAGGGAGGTATATAGGCAATAAAGAATTTGAAATTTATCGAAAATATGAATTATTAATTAAATCTTCTGGCTTTTTTTAACCTTTATATTATATATATATATATATATATATATATATATATATATATATATATATAATTATAAAAAATTATATATATAATATTTTTATATATTAGTACATATCCATATATATTTATAAAAATAACTTATAAATAATATATTATATTTTTATTTTATAATTGAAAAAGTTATTTCTTTAATAAATAAAGATATTTTTATTTATTTTTATAAATAAAAATTGTATTTTTTTATTTTTTTCTCAAATTTAAAAGAAATTATTTTTTCTACATTTTATTATTTAATTGTTAATGAAAATATTTTATTTTTCTCCTTATAAGTATTTTTATTATATTATAATATTTAAATGATGTTTTTTTATTTTTAAAAAAAAAATATTTATATATATTTAATTCTTATTTATACCTGAACTTGCTATTATTATTAATGCAGAAATAAATGGAACTAGAAGTTCACTAAATAATTCTGATTTATTTCTTATTTATAAAATTAAATTCTTTTTAATAATTGCTTTAGTTTATTACCAAATTAATTATTTAATAATCATTTTTTTTACTTTTTTCTTTTTTTAAAATTAAAAAATAACAAAATATAAATATATATATTTAATCATAAATAAATAAATATGTTTATGCATATAAATTATAATAAATATTCTTTAATATTTTTTTTTTTTTTTCATTATCTTCTATCTAACAAATATTACATAAAAGGAATGCCTATTGGAACTTAATTCATATATTAAATATAATTTTCTCCAAAGAAATTAACCAAAATAATTTCTTCATAATCAATTCTATCTAAAAAAAACTTATATAACACCACCATATATGCCAATAAACAAATCGGATTTCCTAAAACTACCTATTACCCTATAGAATACAAAAAAAACCTAAATAACTTGGATGCCTAACAATAGAATAAATTCCATGTGTAACTAATACATGATTATTTGATTTCTATGTTTAAATTATATGATGAAAATTATTTTTTGCAATAATAAAAGCACCTATTCTAAAAAAATGTCCTAACAAACATATAATACTTCCAAAAATAATTAAATGTATATTATCCTAATTTATTATTTTTATATATATGAATTTTTATGTAAAATTTTTTTACATGTAAAAAAATTTAAAAATATTATGTCCCTAAAAAATATTCAAATAAAGCACAAAAAATAGCTATATTATATGAAAATGAATGATTTATTAAAAAACTTCCCCACTTTAATTCTTTTGGATGGCAAAAAAGTACAAATAAAAATTCTCCATAATGAAATATCATAGCTTGTAATAAATAAATATATATTGAATATATGTGACCTTATACTAACTCATATATTGATATGAATGTTATTATTCCAAAAATATATGATTATAAGAAGTATTTAAAATATTAAATAAATGATTATAATTAAGAAATCTAAAATTTATTTATAGAATTTTTTATATATATATATATAAATAATTATATATACAGATATATATATATATATATATATATATTTTACTTTTTTTTTAAATATTAAATATATTAAGATAAATATTATTGTGCTTTAA